ACAAAATGATCTACAAGAAAAATGACAGTTCTTTGAGGGTGTTTTTGGTATGACAGTAGTAACTTTTCAGGAAAATGATCCGAGGAAGTCATTTTGTGTCCAAGGAAAATATTGTCCATCAACCGGGCGAAAATGACTTCCCTCACTTATCGATGGAGGTCATTTTTCTTACAACTCTCTTGAATTTTAACTTTAAATTATTTGCTCAAACTAACACGTTGACAATGTAATAAATCTTTATTATTCAAATTTTCATCAAAACATTCTTGGATTTGCTAATATTATTATTAATCATTAATATGTATCTTTTCAAAATTATTATTGACTCACCAACCAAACACCGGAAAGCATTTTCTAGAAAAATATTCTCTATGTAAAACATTATTCATGAAAGCATTTTCCATGAAGAGTGAATTATCGTAGCAAACATACTTAAATCTCAACTTTGAGGAGTTGAATTAATATTGACATTACTATATGATGAAGATAATACTAAATAAATAAAAGAGTGTATCATTTCTAACAACTTAAATGGTCACATATTTCAACATGGTATCAAAGCAAGCAGTGATCCTTGTGTTTGAATCTCAACATCACCTATCATAAAAAAGAATTCCATGTTCTTGGCCCATAACAAAGAATCAGACCAGCACCAACACATGAAGGGGCATGTTGAAGCAGAGGCAAACTATGCTATACAGAGAGGGATCACCGGCACCCGTAGTTCGGCAATAATTCCATGTTTACATGTATATATGTTTAGAAACAAAGCAGATTTTGGTTGAATCCAAAAGTGCATCCGCGACCTTCAAATATAGATCCGCCTCTGTGTTGAAGACATAATTAAGTAAAATAAAAGTGTGCTCTTTGACAAATTGGGTTTTAGATGAGATGGTCACATAATATTAACATTGTATATTGGATGCTGATAGTAGTTATTTTAATTGCAATTTGATTGTTGTAGTATTAAATTCATGTATGTTTGGGCATTTGAAATTTTTCTATAAATTGTGCTTGTCACTCCAAAGATGTGTGCACTTCACTTCTCGCTCTTTGCTTCAAACGACATGGACTTGTCACTTTTTGGAACTTCTCTCTTTAAAATACACTGGTCCTGGCTAGTCTGTCATATCTTGTGTTTGTAAATCAGTTCCATTATGGAATTTGATTATCTCAAAGTCCTGCATGTTCCTCCTAAGCCTCAGGTCCCATGGATCTCCTCCTTGCATACCTCGGCTCTCCAACAGTCATCTCTCACTGGCTCGATATCCTGTAAATGTAAAGGAATGTAATCCTCAATTGGTCCCTTCGGCTCCACCCGTGACTCTAGAAGCTAATTCCATTCCCAACCCTGAATATAATGTTGCATCTGAAGCCCAACCAAGATTCCCTAATTAAAGCTTGGGTCTTCTTCCCAAGGGTTAGAAAGTGAAAGAAATAGGGTTTCAGATAGTGGAGACCTCTTCCCAAAAGTTCTTATCTCACCTCCTTACTCCCATCTGAGTTTCTTAGATTTTTCTTTCCTTTGTATTGAAGAGAATACCTTGGCTCTCTTGGTAGCCCCCTTCCTTAGTTCTCCCAAGTTAAGAATGAGAAAGCACCAGAATGGTGTTTGCGACTTTGTTGGGTTTTTTATCTCTCTTCTTATTGTTTATTACATATTGGATAAATGACCAAACTACCCTTTTAATTTTGGGGTATTACTATCGTCACTGCCTTAGTTTTCTATGCTCTAAGCATTACAGTTACATCCAGTCTATCACTAGTTGATTGTCTTTTCAGTTATTCTCTTTTGTAAATGCGCCAATTATCTCTAATTTTGTTTTTACAGATCAGTAAGGCAATATCTGGAACAGATAAGGAGGACATCATGAAAAAATTGCCCAAGTTTATATATGATGAAGAAAAGGAATTGGAGGTAGGCTGATTTTCTACATATCTTGCATTAGGAAGCAGGAAACGTGTCTCACGAATTAGGAAGATGAATAATTTAAAGAATGGATAAAGTTTTAAAGCTGAATGTGCAATATACCTGATAGAGCTCTTATTTGTCTTCCTCTTTTGTGGTTCTGCTTGTGTATATATAGTGCATCCACCTAGGCTCTGTTTGGATTCAAATGATCTGAAATTCATAGATTTACACACATCCCTTCTATTTTCCAAGCATAACTTAATGAGTTGACTCTTACTGTTAAAATCTAAGCATTTTGTTGATTAGGTGGCTTTTGTATAGAATCATATTCTGCTGTAAGTTCTTTACTTTTTCGGTATACTGGTTGTTGGGCAACATCAATAATTTTTTACCTTATCAAAAGAAATCTAAGCTTTGTAACCATTTTCAATAGCTCTTCCAAATTCTATTTTAGCGTCATTTGAAATCCTCGTGGGTTGTAGTTGTAAAGCTAAATATTATATGACTCAAAAATATTTCTTATGGTCAAATTTACCTATGTTTAAGACGTAATATAAATAAATAAATTTATCGCCACATAATTCAACATCCTAAACAGGAGTCTTGCCTTCGAGTTTTATCAACAAAATGTTTTCAGGTGCTTGGCCCTAAAAAGAATAATAACCGCGCATGAAATGGTGTATTGAACACCTAATATAAATAATGCCTAATATAAATAAATTAAAGAGTCTCATCTCTAATAAATTTAAAGAGTTTAGATGAGATGGTGACACGATTCAACTTCTAAACAGTAACTTTTTTTTTTTTTTAAGTTTTAGGGAAAATGCTTTTGGTCCTACAGTTATTGTCAAAACCTTTTTAAGTTGTGAACTTGACATTCTAATGTTCATTGGTCTGTCCACTAGCATATCCTCGTCATTTATAGTTCGTGAACTTGGATAAACTTCTTAAGTTTTGAACTTGATATTTTAATGTTCATTGGTCTGTCCACTAACATATCCTTGTCATTTAATAGTTCGTGAACTTGGATATGGAATAAAAGTATTAAATGATCCCCTCTTTAAAAAAGACGATTACTCACATGGTCCATTGAAATTACAGGAATATGTTGGGGAGGCCGATATCAATAAATGGGCTTCATTAAATATCACATGAACAAAAATTGGAATTAGTTGATAACTGAGGGACCGAGAGTGCAATCATTTCTAGTTAAAATTTTGGGAGAAGCTGAAATCAAATAATCCAAATAGAAGCAGATTATGTGACCATGGTATTGTACTTGGACAAAAAGTTGGTAGCTTAACAAGTCGGTAATAGATAGTATGTAGTTATGAACTACCAATCAGAAACAAAAATGTAACTATGTGCCAATTATATTTGCGATGCGAAGGGGAAATGCCAGAAAAGATATTCTGACCCCTGAGGGACGTGCACACGCGCACACATAACAAGGATTTGAAGCTACCAATGTGGGGTGTTCTGCAGTTTTAGAACTAAACTTTCTTAGTTCTACTTCATTCTGATACTCGACAAAACCCTCATAACAAGTTTTTAAATAACTAGCATGGCTGCTATCCTTTGTCTCTCAGTGAACCCATTTAGGTGTTCTCTAAACAATTTAACAAGCAGCATCCAAAAGTTTCTTCACTTTATTTGGTTCGGGGTTTCTCTTTCTTTCTTATACTTTTATAATGACATAAGAAGACAATGACTTGCTCCACCAAAACTTTGTCACCGCCACCAATAAAAATAACGACCCCGTGCATTCCCACAAGTGGGATTTGGGGAGGGTAAGATATGCGCAGCCTTACTCCTACCTTGGACAGGGAGATAGGCTGTTTCCGATAGACCCTTAGCTAAAGAAAAGATGAACCAAAACTATGTCACCATTATCTGAATTTGTCATTCTGCATAGTCCATTAGTTTCCTAAAGGGCTAAAGCTTGCTCCTCCTTTCTGGAATCAATACTGTGTTGCAATTTCATGGACTGGAACTGTGGACTTCAAAATACCTCGCAAGCTGATGACAGTGTTTTCTTCTTTTCCAAGTTGTGATATGTGTATGTTCTCCCTGCAGAAACAACGCAAGATACTTGCAAAGAAGATTGAACAGATTAATTCTTCTATTGATGGCATTTCTGCTCAGTTGAGGTCAGAAGACACTGAAGATGGAGCTACCGTGAACCCAGACGATGTTGAAGCCCTAGTGTAAGAATCCTGACTTGGACAAGTGAAGTTATCAACTCTTCAGTTCAGATGATAGAGCGTGATCTGAAATATTCTTGGTTGCAGTTTTAGTATAGTTGGTCTTCGCTATGAGATGATATCTACAAATGAGGAATAAAATTACAATTCTCTGCTTTTATTTGATGAATGCAGCGCAGCTTCAACTGCTAGTAGACATGCTTATAATCCTTTTTATCTCACTGCCCGTGCGTGCTCTTCTGCCTCTGTTTTCATTTGGTTGAGAGTACACTGGTATAACATCTTCTTCTATTATGCTGGTTATAAAAACACACCTTCTTCTATTATGCTGCATCTCCCTTCTCTTCATATGCACGTTTTTATAAGTTCCTTTGTGATTGGTAGCGTAGAAACTCATTGAAGTCAAATTTCTCTCTTTTTCTTTTTCCAACTCTCTTACGTTCTGAAATCTTTGAGGGCCGTATCTGGACGTTGGTAAATTGTTCTATGCATTGCTGCTTTTCTCAACTACGGTTCGTCAGGCATCATGTTTTTTCTACTTACATTCTAATAGCCTGTTTGGCCAAGCTTCTTTTGAGGCAAAAGCGTTTGTTTTTTGTGGTCAAAAGTACTTTTTCACCTAAAATTAAGGTGTTTGACCAAGCTTTTGAAATGAAAAAAAGTGCTTTTGAGGAGAAGCAGAAGCATTTTTGAAAAAGCAGAAAAAAGTAGCTTCTTTCCAAAACTTAGAAGCAGTTTTTTAAAGCTTGGCCAAATACTAATTGCTGCTCAAAAGTGATTTTCAAATTAATTAGTTAAACACAAACTGCTTTTCACCAAAAGTACTTTTGAGAAAAACACTTTAGGGAAAAAACATTTCTCAAAATAAGATGAGTTTTGCATCTTGGCCAAACGGGCTATAAAGCTCATTACTAGTATATTATTATAGCAGGAGACTTAACGTAGACATGTAGTGTGTAGTGGGTAAATGTAACAAAGGCAGTCCATTGAAATTGCATGTTACCCTATATAGTTGAGATTCACAAAGCTCATTACTAGTATATTATTATAGCAGGAGACTTAACGTAGACATGTAGTGTGTAGTGGGTAAATGTAACAAAGGCAGTCCATTGAAATTGCATGTTACCCTATATAGTTGAGATTCACAAGTTGTTGCTCAAAGTAGCAAAAAACAACAAATTGAAAGTAACGACTCTCGACACCACGGCTATAAAAAAAAAGGTCTCTCAGGATACCAAGGGGAGATGAGTCGAGGAGCTAGGTTGCTGTTATAGGTCACTCGAACTAGCTGGATGCAGGATGCACGGGTTTCAATCTCACATAAACTTTATGCAGTGCCTTTTTGACAATTTTGTCTTTGCAGGTGCAAGATTTCAAATCCATCCAGCTTAGCTCTTTGGCTACCATAATTGTGTTAGCTCTTTTGGACACAAACTGACCCACCCAAATAGTCCACAACTTTGACCAATTGCCATAGTTCACATGACACAGTAATAGTTAATCATGTACCAGTGGTTAAATAACATATACTGCACACCCCCATAAGGGAAATTAACCTCTAGTTGGTCGAAATGTCTCTCCTTTGTAGTACTATTGTTTTCCCACTCCTCGTTCTCCTCCTGCTGAGCCCTGTTAACGGCGTGGGCATAAACTATGGGACAATTGGAAGCAATTTGCCCTCACCAAAGAAAGTGGCTCAGCTACTTCAGTCCACCATCATTAACAAGGTTAAGATTTATGATACTAACCCTCAAATTCTTGAAGCCTTTTCCAACACTGGCATTGACCTCATTGTTGCTGTAGAAAACTCCCATGTTGCAAACTTAAGCGCCACCCAATCAGCTGCTGACGTGTGGTTCTCCGCTCGTATCTTGCCCTTCATTCCTGCCACTTCCATTGTTGCCATTGCCGTAGGAAATGAGTACTTAACCACTGATAATGATGATGATAAATTAGACCATAATGCCTTAGTCCAAGCTATGCAAAATCTACATTCAGTTTTACTAGCACGTGGGCTAGACCGAAAAATCAAAGTGTCTACGCCACATAGCATGGCTGTTCTTGCTTCTTCATTTCCACCTTCATCTTCCACATTTGCCACTACTCTCCTTCCTATTATGACTTCCATTGTCGGGTTTTTGGCGGATACCGGTGCTCCATTCATGGTTAATGCGTACCCATATTTTGCATACCGGGACAATCCCGGTATGGTTAATTTAGAGTACGCATTACTAGGAAATGCAACCGGGGTTCGTGACCCTAAAGGTTACGTGTACACCAACATGTTAGATGCACAAATTGATGCAATTAGATCAGCAGTGAATGCTCTCGGTTTTGGAAACCGTACAATTAAGATTATGGTGTCTGAATCTGGTTGGCCGTCTAAAGGAGATAAGGGAGAAACAGCTGCAACCGCTGATAATGCTAGGACTTATAACGCCCGATTAGTCGAACGTGCACAGTCAAATAAAGGTACTCCCATGAGCCCAAAAGACAACATTGATATTTTTGTCTTCGCTTTATTCAACGAAAACAAGAAACAAGGAGGAACAAGTGAGAGGAATTTTGGGATTTTCAATGGAGATGGATCAAAGGTATATGATGTGGATTTGAGTTGTCAATTCTGCAGTAGCAATACTAATGGCAAAATCAATTTTGGTTTCGGAGAAAAAGAGTCGTTAAGGGGACCTTCAGTATGGTGTGTGGCTAAACCACATGCAGATGAGAAGGTAATACAAGCAGTGCTGGATTTTTGTTGTGGACCTGGAGGTGTAGATTGTAGAGAAATTTATGAAAATGGGGATTGTTTTCAACCTGATAAAATTCATGCTCATGCTTCTTACGCGATGAATGCTTATTACCAGATGCATGGAAGGAATTATTGGAATTGTGATTTCAAAGGCACTGGCCTTGTTACTTTCAGTGATCCAAGTAAGTAAATCCAAGACTAGACATTATTTGTATTTTCAATGGCAAATGCACGGATAACCATTCTCAGGATGCTATTTAGAGATTAGACAGTACTTATTTTGTCCTGACAGTTTAAACTAAAAATTTTAACTTCAGGACAATTCAAAATATTTTTGTCCCAAACAATTGAACTGAAAAACTAAAATTGAGGATGCACCGACTAATTTCTAATATAACAACCTTTTAGAGTGGTTACTTGTGTCATTTCTACCATTTTTTAATGGATACGTTATCCAAATTTAGTTGCTGATTTTGATCACTATAGGAGTATTATAGCTGAGCTAGAAACTGTTTACATCTGATAGCCAAAAAAGTGTAAAAAACTTGTATAATTTTTGTATATAACATACGTTATGTATATATATCCAAAAAATATACAAATTTTATACATTTTTTTTGCTATTATTTTTACAGTGTCATTTTTCCTATTATTTAACCCGGACTTTGTTTTATGTTTTCTTGCTAATCAGGTTATGGAAGATGCTTCTATTCACAGCAGTAAGGAATCAGAAAGGGGGAGGGGTGTGAAATCAATGTAATTCAAAGCCTCTTCAATCCTGTGTTACTCTTGGATTAGGAGTAATTATTAATGTTATGTTTCTTTCATGAATTAGTATCCCTAATCAAAGGCTTTTTCTTACCATCTGAGAAAGTTTTTACTCTTTTGACTAGAGACCCCACCATAATTTCCTATTTTACTGCAGCAGTGGGGGTGTTGGGACCCCTTCAAATTTGAAAAAGGCCAAATACATCAATAGCCCCTTAAAGTTGTATCACTTTTCACTTTGACATTTCATTTTAGTTCCGCTCCATTTGAACACTCCAATCATATCTCAAATGTGTCATTTGGACACAAAATTTATAGGCAGCCAAACGTAATAGATGCGTGGAATTCACACGCCAGAGAAACCAATAAGATGGAGACACATGGGTTTATTAAAAATTAAAAAAAGACTAATGAGAAAAGAAAAAGAATAAAAGAAAAACAAGAATCCCAACCCACCCCTCCCCTCCGTCATCTTCCCCAACGACCCCAACCCCGCTTCCTTTCCGTCTTCTTCTGCCAAACAAAGTACTCCCATAACCATGGTTTGGCTCAATTCTAGGCCAAATTATCGGAAATGGAGTTTCAGGGTCCCAAATCGAATAGAACGAATGCAAAATTTTGCAAAATTCTTGGCTTTCACCGGAAAAGTTCGGAACTTTTTTCTTCTTGGAGTTATACATTAGGAAACAAATACTAATCTAAGCCAAAAACTTTTAGATCTGGAAGTTGGGTCGTTTGAAAATATGAAAATTAAGGTTTGAAGTTGGTTGGGTGTTCGAGATTTTGGTTGTAAACGCTGATACGAGGTGAAGTATGAAGATTTGAGCTCGATTTGAACTGATTTTCTAGGGTTTTGGGTTCGAAACTTGAACTGATTGTTCGATGAAGAAGACGAACTTAGGTCTTCTGATTTTGCGGTTGTTTGTTCGAATTGATCACCGGGGCTTATTATTGATGTTGATTAGAGTTCTCATTTTAAGTTTTAAATCGTTTGGTGAAGATTTGGGTGAGATTGGTTCGTTTTGGGTCTCTCGAAGCACGATGAAACACTTCGAGTTCTTCAGTCGACGAACTTAGAAGAAATTGCAATTTTGGGTTCAAAATTTGGTAGTAATCTTGTGAATAAATCTGAAAATTTAAAAAGAAAAGTTCACCGGAAAGAATTTCCGACATAAACTAAGCTTAAATCTGTTGACAGTCACATGCTTTTTTAGCCATTTTCGTTATTCCTTTATTTTCGCAGTCGGAGTGCTTTTGATTTTTCAAGTTCCGGTTGCAACAGACAATCTCCGTTGGTAACCATGGTGTGGGAGGGAGAGAGAGTGGAATCTGATAATGTGTGAAAGAGTAGGAGGAAAAGAAAGAGAAAAGAATTTTAAAAAGAAAAATTGATCTCTCACGCTATGAGAAACGGTGTAACACACGCACTACGCCACATCACAAAGTTGTGTCTAAATGACACATTTGAGATGTGGTTGAAGTGTTCAAATGGAACGAACATAAGATAGAGTGTGTAAGTGAAAAGCGAGGACAACTTTAAGGGGCTCTCAATGTATTTGGCCTTTGAAAAATAAACATATCAAAATCATTTGCATCAATGCCCTACATATCAAATCAAAAGGTAGGGTACTTTTAAGTTGATTTAAATTTGGTAATGGTATCTCTTTAATTAAAAAAAAAGTAGTTTTTGTGGTTAAACCAAATAATAGAATAAATCGAGTTTTTACTGATCAATTCTACTTCACTTTCTCTAATATAAAAAATGTAAGAAATAATGGTAACTAAATATTAAGGGAATAAAGGAAAGAAAATCTTACAGATAATCGTAGCATCCTTCCAAGAGTTGAGAGTAAGAATCTAGCAGAGAAATAAGACTTTGCTAGTATCTATTTGAGAATTCCTTGATGATCGTACAAAGTTTGGTAAGGGGGATTTATATAAAGATACAATATGTAACTGCTTTGCTACACTTAATTCCCTCTCGTTGCCAATATTAATTACGTTGATTGCTCGTCATTTGAATCATTTGTAACCGTTATGGTAATAATAATCAATCCTGCCAAATCAGGGATCATGTCGATTCCCTTTCCATATCCGCGGTTATTAATGAATCTTCCTTCTTTATAGTCTTTAATTGAGTATCCCGCGCCTATCTCTTCTTTCCCAGTCGTTAGATACGGTTTCTATGTAAACAACCTTGTGGTTGTTTTCCCCATGCCTTTCTTCCGAACTCCAGTCTTTTTTATTGTTCTAACTCTTATAACACCTATCAATGCATCATTAATCCAGAAGTGAACCCCCCAACTTCTAGATTTTCTCTTCATAACGCTGAGAAAACAATTTTCAAGTAGAAGTTCTGTGTTACACAAACCACAAATTATGTAGTGAAACGTAAGAGGTTTTAGCCAACTAATTAGAAGTCATTTGATAAGGAAAGCCTAAGGGCACTTAAAGTGTTTTCTTCAAATTCAGGAGGTCAAATTTGCAGTGTAACCTATAATCCACATAAATTATGTTCCACACCATGCGACCTAGGGCACTCACAGTGATTTCTCCTGCATAAGAGGAAAGAATAACAAAGTTAAAACAATAAATACGGTCAAGGATACAATCCCAAACCTGCAGAAAAACAAACAATTCTCAGACAACACAAAAAGTGAACTTGTCACGACCCAGATTCCCACTATAGGTCATGATGGCGCCCAACGTCGCTGTTAGGCGAGCCAACTGTTAACTATCCATTTACTTATTCATTTTATTACTTTTAAAACCGTTGCTTTTTATTAAATAAAAAAATTAATGCATAGAGAATCTTGGATATATATAAAATATTAGTAAAACATAAAATAAGGTGACAATATTAAACAAAACCATAAATATCTATTAGAAATTTTCCAAAACCCGGTGTTACAAGTGCATGGCAATCTACCACTATAGCTATTGTTTGAAATGAAATAGATAGAAAAAAAATATAACAGGAAAGAGACTCCGGGTGCTGCAGATCAGCATGAAGAACAACTCACCACTAAGTCTCTGGATAATGGGGATGCGCCCCCGAATGGCCACCAGTTGTACCTGCCTCAGTACCTGCACAATAAGTGCGGAAGTATAGCATGAGTACGTAAATCAACACATACCCAATAAGTATCTAGTCTAACCTCGAAGAAGTAGTGACGAGAGGTCTACAACTCGACATCGACACTTACTAGTGGTCAATAAATAAGACAATAATTATAAATAGGCATAAAATACAACATTAACAATGGAATAACAAATGATAATTAACATGATCCTTTAGCATAATGACAGTCTAAAATTCCAAATAATATATGACATCTCAACAAATAAGTACAATCAAGTAAATATCAAATCTCAAGTCAAGAAGGAATATCAAGTATATTCTGACTCTTAGCGATATTACACACGAGTTATGCCGAGGTCATATGGCCTGATTCATAATAATCGTGTGCATATACTACCGAGGTCGTACGACCGATCTATGGATGCATCCCAAATATACTGCCGAGGCCTACGGTCTGATCCACATAAATAGAGAAACTCTTCGATCTACGGGGCATACAATTACAACACAAGGATAGGCACATAAAGAAAGCATAATTTTTACCAACAATCAAGTATTCCGCCAAAACTCAAGGTAATGAAACTCGGCCTAACACAATCCCTAATCAAATTTCAATTATAAATTCAAGTAATCAAACTAACTAATTGAGTTTAAATAGTACAAATATAGCAAGATAAAGTCCTAAGACTAACCGGACATAAGCATGTTTTTAGCTATGTACGGACTCTCGTCACTTCGTACGTACGTAGCACCCACATCTAATAGCAAATAACAATTTAAGCACCTCGAGGATAATTCCCTCTTACAAAATTAGGCAAGAGACTTACCCTACTTCCAATTTTTCTACCCGGCTCACCAACCTTACTAATTGCCTCAAATCGATGTCGAACAATCTGAAACTAGCGAAAGTTCGTACAAACTAATCAATATATGCCCAAAAGTTCATAATTTAACTATTAGAGTAATTTTCCAACCCAATTTGGAAAGTTCATAAAAGTCACCTCGTTTCCACGTGCCTAGATTTCGAAAAGTTTTGTAAAAAAATATTGCCCATGACCTTACGAATTCAAATATATAATTTGTACCCAATTCTGACATCAGTTTCATTGCCAAACCCTAGGTTTTCTAACAAAATCCCAAAATTTCCATCGTTTCTATATTAAAATCTATCCATAAACTATGTATTAAACTCAAATTATGTAAAAATTAATTACCTTAAGATGCTGGGTGAAAATCCCTCTCCAAGGAGCTCCAATTTCTGCAAAGACAACTGAGAAATGAAAAAGAATATCCTAAGTCCCAATTTTAAAACATGTTTCTGCCCAGTGATTCCTTCTTTGCGATCGCGAAGGCAAAGTTGCATGCTGCCCAGAAAAGCTTCTTCGCGAAGGTCAACCGGACCAACCTTTCATGAACGCGGAGAGCCCCTTTGCGAACGCGAAAACCAACGACATAGTCTCTCAGGCCCAGGCCTCCTTCTACACGAACGCATAGAAAACTAGCCCTTAAGCTTCACGATCGCGAGCCTACCATCGCGAACGCGTAGCACAAAAATATCCAGCGCAATTCCTTCATCGCTGACGAGAGTAAAACACAACACGAAATTGATGCTCGCTAGCCAAAGATGGTATAGTTTAATTATTGTTTCCACAAGGATTGAATTTAAATAATGTTCAAGTAATTTCTGGCTTAAATTCTATTCAAGATGATTAACCCATTGGTTGGAATGATTATGAACTACAACTAACTACTAAAAGTAAAGCAATTAACAATTGACCGCAGAGAATTAGAGATTAGCAGAGTTGGTTTCTTATCAATGTGAGAAATAAGGGTGTTGACAGAATAGATGCAAGATAGCTATTTGGGATCTAACTCCGTTTAATTTACTTTAATGTTCTAATGGTTCTCACGAATTCACTCGATGATTAGTTCAAACGTATAGTCAAGACTTCTCTCTCGGTTAAATCTTAACTCTACGAGGTGAACTAATGTAAGCACGGTAAAAATATGCAAGCATGCATTAATGGATTAGTCTT